AAAAAAAAAAAAAAAAAAAAAAAAAAATATATATATATATATAACTTGAAAACTGAGATGATGGTTAGCATTTTATAGCAATAAAGTATTTTTTAAAATTAAGGAATTACATTGTTTTTTTTTAGACATGCTATTGCTCACTTAATTGACTACAGTATAGTGTAAACATAACTTTTATATGCACTCGGAAGCCAGAAAATTAATTTGACTTGCTTTATTGTAATATTCACTTTTTTGCAATAGTCTAAAACTGAACCCACGATTTCTCTGGGGGTAGGCCTGAACAAATGATTGATATTTGTGCACACTTAGGGTTTTGGGAATGCCCTACTTAGCATTGCATGTCCTCTTTTCACCTTCTCGTGATACACAGACTGCCTTGGGTGCACACTCAGGTACATATTTACTACTTTGAGTTCTTTTGCTCCCATGGCTTGTTTTTGGTCCTCAGGGCATTCTTGTTTGCAATCTGTGGAGTGTTTATAGCATCGGAATAACGTCAGATCCCTAAATGGAATTTGGATTATTTACTTCCAAATGTTTCTCCCCAACAGTCCAATGACTGTGGAAATAATACAGTGCAAAGGCACCTGATCTGATTTGAATAGAAATATATGTGGGTATGGTTTTAGAGCTTTGTGTTTATTAAAAAAAGAAAACAATCTTCCTTCTTGATCCTTGGGGCTAGTTATCTTGCTTTTATTGCTGTGATAATACACAAGAAAGAAACACCAAACAAGCTGAGACAGTTGAAAACGCCCACATCCAACTCAATTTATTTTATTTGAGTCTATGTAGTTCTGTGGACTTGTTTCATGTACAGGTGCTTTATAAAAAACAGGGCACAAGCTCTGGAATGCATTTTTTTTTTTTTTTTGAAAGGTAGAACTTCTAGTTTAGAAGTAGAGATTCCTCTTCAGGGAATATGTAATTGTTTAATTAAGTTGATTAGCACGCTCCATTGTGTCTTGAAGCTATTCAGAGGACTGCGGGGGCATCTGTTGTGCCGGCATTGGGAGGCAGCTAGGTTGTTTCAGAAATAAGCTGCAAATGCCTTGACAACGGCAGTTTGACACGGCTCGGTGTAGGCAGTGCCACGGTGCTGCTCGGGGATGCTTCCTCTTGGCTTCATGTAGGGACATGAATGCTCTTCGGTATGTCCAAGGTGTGTTTTGCGGGGAGGGGAGGAGGGGAGTTTTTACTGAGTCTCGCCTTTCCCTCCTCTCCTTCATCGTGACAGCTGGCATTTTCCACCTTCAAACAACAGCATGAGGGATGTTATAAATTGCACATCATTTTCTGGGTGGGCTCATGTCTATGCTGACAGCCATTTTCTACCCACGACCTCATTTCAATGGCCAGGACTCCGCATGTGTAAATGGACAAGTCTTCAGGAGATTTGGGTAGGCTTTGCCAATCTCGCCTCTCCATTTCCTGTCTAAAGCGCTTCTCCCATGTCCACAGCATGTTTATGCAACATCGCATAAAACTTCTAATGGGCAGTTTCTTCCAGGTGACCTCCCTGAGAGGCTGGGCTGTGAAGAAATCTTAAGAAACCTGACCCTGAGGAAATTGCCTCCTTTGAGAATATTACTTGGTGCAGAAACAAGGAACAGAATTCAGTTATTTTTGGTTCTTGAATAAATGAATTCTGTTTCTTTTTATGTAGGTGGCGAAAACATTAACCCCTGCAGCAGGTCCGGTCTGAGTCAGAAGTTGAACTTTTGGTTTCTCTGAATTAGGAGAACCTGGGAAAAGAGAAGGTTAAAGTTTTTTTTTTTTTTTTTTTTTTTTATTTGAACCTCAAGCAACTTGGACTCGGTTCTGCCGTCCGTATATCTTTTATAGATGTGTCTTTTCCAGGGTTGTCTGTCTTTACATTAGATTTTCTGTAGGCCAGGACTGTGGCTATAGAATGACCTCTAAGTTGGCACCATGTGTGGGTGGATACTAATGAATCCTTTCTTAACCTTCCTAGCACTTTTGGAGAAATCCATCAGTAGAAAGCGGGACACTGAAGCCATACAGAAAGCCAAAATCCTTTATTCATCTTGCATGAATGAGAGTGAGTAATAAAGAAAATAACTAAAATATTTAACACCCTATCCTTCAGAGAGTCTATTAATGTTTAAAGATATTGTTTAAGGAAAACGAGAACTACTAAGAATTCGATTAATGTTTAAAAATGTTGTTTGAGGAAAGGAACGATTCTCAAAGACTGAATCTTGACTCTCCCTGTCTTAATGTTCTGTTGCTGGCTTGATGGAGAAAATAGGAAAATAATTTTATTTCTTTGGCTTGGATTCTTTAGGTAGCAGTTACTCTGCGAGAAACTTGGGTAGGGTCAGGAGGGCAAACCCCACCATATGTGGTGCAGAAACAAGAATCCAGAGGCCCTGTCTGGTCTGAGAAGGAGCCTGGGAGAGAGGACGTTTGGGAGTGTTGCTGTATCCCATAGAACCTTACCGGGGTCTAGGAAAATCCAGATTCCCGGGTGGGCCAGCCTCCTTCTGCTTCTCCATCAGCCTAACAGGCAGCTTAGGTGGGTGTCTTAGGCCTGTCTTGGCATCTTGGGTCTGATTGGAGTTAAGGTTAACACTTGCCATTTTCTCTGGTGTGCTTTCTCAAGACCACTGCAGGAAGAAGCCAGTGCCTGTGGGAAGTGTGTTACCTTGTTTAGGATTTGGGGTATTATTTGGTGAGCTAGAAGAGGGTGGTAAAAGATGACCAAAGAGTCTGGAAGCATTAATTCACGTGTATTGGGGAGTGGTTGGCTTTACTGAATGGTTTCCTTTACTTAGGATTGTTCCTTAGTCTTGCAGAGTATTCTCAGCCTAATATCGCTCATTGGGCTGTAGTGAGCCCATCTTTTCTTGTCGAGAATATCCAGCAGCTTCCCTAGTCAGCTCTCCTGGCAAGAATACCAAGTTCAGGCAGTCACACTGAAGTGTGAGTCATAGGTAGTTCTGTCTCTGTGGTCCTGCTCAATCTGCTGCACCTCTCTCTAACAGCTGAAATGTTAAGTTGGGGTCTTATGGGGAATTTTCTCTTGAGAAGATATACTTGCATTCTAGTTTGGTGATCCAGTTTGCAATTCTAACTCTTCCTTTGTATTTGCTCCCTTTCAGAAGCGATTGAAAAAGCAGATGCCAAACCATTGCTACATATCCTGCGGCATTCACCTTTCCGCTGGCCTGTGCTTGAATCTAATATTGGTCCTGAAGGAGTTTGGTCAGAGAGGAGGTTCAGTCTTTTGCATACCCTTGCAACGTTTCGTGGTCAATACAGCAATTCTGTGTTCATCCGATTGTATGTGTCCCCTGATGACAAGGTGTCCAACGAGCACATTTTGAAGGTATAGTGAGGACTTGTTCATACTGTTTGTTCAGTCCAAGGTTAGACTTTTGGGGTGTCTTTCTGGGGAAAGAGACTCATCCTATCTTAGTGAAATCAGAGGATAAAAATTCTGTTAAACATTGGGATCTAGAATATTCCTTCCTCCCAGATTTGCAGAGTGTAACTCATGAACAAACCAATTTGGTCAGCCTTTCAGGAAGCTGGTGAGTGAGTTTCAAGTCATCTCTGATCTGGCCCTCAAATATCTACTCTGAGCATGTGTGGGGTCCCTAAATTCCAGTGGGGGAGCAAGCTGCTAAGACTTTCTGAACTCTGCTCTTCCCTATACCTCCTCATTCTCCTGACAAAGGAACAACAGCGAAAGACTCATCAGTGAAACAGCTTGGCAAGGATTCAAATAACATTTCTTTTTTTTTTTTTTAAAGATTTTATTTATTTGACAGAGAGAGAACACAGTGAGAGAGGGAACACAAGCAGGGGGAGTGGGAAAGGGAGAAGCAGGCTTCCTGCTGAGCAGGGAGCCCGATGCGGGACTCGATCCCAGGACCCTGGGATCATGACCTGAGCCAAAGGCCGATGCTTAACAACTGAGCCACCCAGGCGCCCTTCAAATAACATTTCTTAAATTGTTTTGTGTTTTGATCCTACTGTATTTTTTGCTTCCACTTTTTTTTTTTAAGATTCTTAAATATTTATTTGAGAGAGAGAATGAGCAAGAGAGAGCAGGAGTGAGGGGGAGGGGCAGAGGCAGAGGGAGAAGCAGACACCCCGCTGAGCAGGGAGCCCTACGTGGGGCTTGATCCCAGGACTCCAGGATCATGACTTGAGCAGAAGGCAGATGCTCAACCGACTGAGCCACCCAATTACTTTGACTAATAATGAAGATTTTATTGAACCACTGATTTTTTTCTCCCAATTGTGTCCTTTGTCAAACCAGCAAATATTAGTGATATATTGATGATCAAATCATAGAAGTATAAAACCTTTAGAATATATTACCCTTTTCTGCTATAAGTCAACTTTTAAAAAGCCACACCATGCAGCTTATTTTTTGGTTTATGCCAAGAGGCTGGCTTTTTTTTTTTTTTTTTTTTTCTGTAAAGGACCAGATAGGAACTCTTTTAGGCTCTGCGGGCCCTCTGGTCTCTGTCTCACCTACTCAGCTCTGCTCTTGGACCTGGGAGAGCACCTGTAGACAGTCTGTCCATGGACAGGTGTGGTTGTGTAGCAGGCTGACCGGCAGGCTGTAGTTCGCTCAGCTATAGTCTAGACAATGGAAGTCTCAGGAAATCTCTAGGCACTCGAAGAATACCCATCTACTCAGGAGGAAATTCTTAGTTCCAGAGACAGCTGTATTTTCATGCTGGGTGAAGGAACAAGAACATGGCATGGAGGTAGACCCTAATGCTATCCGGTAAGACGTGCTATACAAGACACAGTGATGCTGCCTAAGGGTCCAGTTGATCTCTGCCTCATGCTGATAGGTTACTCACTTTAAAAACCAACAAACCAGATTTTTAAAAAGATTTTATTTATTTGAGAGAGAGTGAGAGAGAGAGAGCGAGCACGAATGGGGGGGAGAGGGGCAGAGGGAGAGGGAGAAAAGCAGACTCCCCGCTGAGCAGGGAGCCTGACATGGGGGCTGGATCCCAGGACCCCGAGATCATGACCTGAGCTGAAAATCAAGAGTCAGATACTTAAGCGACTGAGCCACCCGGGTGCCCCAAGGCTATCATTCTTAATTCCAGAACTATTATGACATCCTTTCAAACACCTTAAGTGGTATTTTGAAGTTAGATGGAGACTTTCAAACTTAAGTTTAAGTTTATGCACTCTATTGGGTGATAGAAGATTTTTTTTTTTTTTAAGGATTATTTATTTTAGAGTGCAGGTGGGAGCGCACACACAAGTGCAGGGCGCGGGGCGGGGGGCTGCGGGGGGAGGTGGAGCGGGGAGGGACAGAGAGAGGGAGAGAGAGAATCTCAAGCCGACTCCCCGCTGAGTACAGAGACTGATGCAGGGCTTGATCTCATGACCCTGAGATCATAACCTGAGCCCAAATCAAGAGTCTGACGCTCAACCAACTGAGCCACCCAGGCTCCAGTGGGTGATAGAAGATCTTGATTCACACACAGATAAGTAGTTGCAAATGGCAGCCGTTTTATTTTTCACCGATTTCTGGACCTACTCTAAGAATTTATCTCTTTAAACATTTTATTGTGGAAAATAATACAAAAGTAAAAAGAATAGTCCAACAAAATCTCATGTACTCATCAGCCCAGCTTCAACAACTGGCAACTTTTGGCAATGTTCTTGTTTTATCTAAACCCTTCCTTTTTGTGGGGAAGCTGGAGCATTTTATAGCAAATCCAAAATATAATATCACTGCCCTGGTAAATCAGTGTTTATCTAATGGAAAGGACTGTTATCACAGCCAAAAAAGTAACCATAATTCCATAATTAACATCTGACACCTAGTTAATTTTCAGTTTCCCTGAGTGTCTCAAACATGTCCTTTTAAAAAATTAAACAGTTGCTCTTTGATTCAGGTTCCAAATAGGAATCTCATGTGCATTTGGATGATAAGTCGATTTTAATCTACAACATTGTGAATTTGACTGATTTCAGTGCAACCTAATAGTTGGTGAGAGAAAAATCTTGTTTATAGGAGAATCACAGCTTAAAAAATGTAGGACAAGGAATAGCATTAAAAAGTTACCATTTAGGGGCGCCTGGGTGGCTCAGTCGGTTAAGTGTCTGCCTTCGGCTCAGATCATGATCCCAGGGTCCTGAGATCAAGCTCCGCATCGGGCTCCCTGCTCAGTGGGGAGCCTGCTTCTCCCTCTGCCTCTTCCCCCTCCACCCCCCACGCTTGTGCTCGCTTGCTCTCTCAAATGAATAAAGTGTTTTTAAAAAAGTTACCATTTAAAAATATTTCTAATGAGATAAAGGACCAAGGCAGCTACCATCCATAGTTGCTAAAACCATTAAGTAAATGGTTGATGGGGGAAACTCATGATAGAGAGATCATACTGACATCAAAAGAACCCACATGTCAGTGGTAGCCTTGTTCAAAGCGGGGCAACCAGATTTTATATACCTTTTGATACCAGGCAGTGAGAAGCATACACTGTCACTAATGATGTCTTGCCAAAAGAAAAGGAAAAAAAAATGAACTTGGATGCTTACAGGAAACATGGGGAATAGAGGAACGTGGTAACCAGTTTTTAACAGCTTGCCTTGCCATACTTAGTATTCAATTAAATGGATCCTGGAAACACTGGACTGTCAGGGATAGAAGAGTCTCCAGATACAAGGAGGCGCTCACGGACTTCCTGCTGCTGTGCTTTGCCAGCATGGTGACTTGTTCTAAACTGCTGTGTTGAAGCATGGCTTGGGACAGGGGTACAGCACAGGTTTGCTTTATTTTTTTTTAATGATTTTATTTACGTATTTGAGAGAAAGAGAGAGAGCGTGCGCGCGTGAGCGGGGAGGGGCAGAGGGAGAGGGAGAAGCAGGCTCCCCACCGAGCAGGGAGCCCAACACGGGGCTCGATCCCTGGACTTCAGGATCATGACCTGAGCCGAGGGCAGACGCTTAACTGACTGAGCCACCCAGGTGCCCCACAGGTTTTTATTTCTAGTTACATCTCTGTACCATTTTATGTGAATGAATAGTCACACACCTGAATTAACAAAATAGAGCTACAGTCTTTGTACACGTGACATGGTTAGAAGTTCAAGCTTATGTCTAGATATGGTAGGAGAAGCTTTCTTCTGAGATCTGCATAAAACCCAATGAACCTGACAACAAGAATTAGCAAATGGGTCACTGCCGATGTTGTAGAATTTGTGAATTTTACTTTTATTAGAAATAGTTAAAACCGTACAGAATTTGATTAAATATTTCAAGCCTTGGAGCACCTTTCTTTCTTTCTTTCTTTCTTTTTTTTTTTTTTAA